GGGGGGGCTAACGGTAACGGCGATCGAACGTGCTTCGGTCTCAAGAACCTGATGACGTACAGATGAGGGGGTGAGGGAGAGGAGTTGGATGGCGAGAGGCTGAGTGTATTGGTGACAAAAGCCATGGGTTGCTCTCGCAGGCATCTCCACCAGCGGGAGAGCTCACGTTTCTGACGACAGAGCAATTGCGGTGGCTTTTGCGGTCGTTGAAGGCTTTCATTGGTATGCATTAAACGATCCACAGGATTATTACCGAGTACGTTATACCGTCAAAATCGATTGGAGAGAGGTTCTATTTGTTTTTGGATGGTGGTGTTCTTTGGAGATTCACTATTCATTATGGTTGGTTCAAATGATCGTTGAGGTGGGAGGTAGAGAGTTATGGAGATGACAATTTTGGGCGGCTTGGTTGGTAATTTACCTCAGATCCTAGGTTCCAGGTCGCCGCTATCGAAGTGCACAGGAGTGATGGATGGTCCGGCTGATAGCATACTGTGCCATTTGCGCTAGCTGCTGTCTCCAAGTCTGATTCCTTTCCACGGCACTCGTAGAGGGTCATGTGATGCAGGTACTGCTGATTACCTGGCTGAATAACTGGCTCGTACTGAAATGCATTCGTAATGAAAAAATATAAATCATTTGTCGGATAGTTTGCTATTCTATTCAGTAACTGGCTATAAAGCTATCTGTAAAACAATTTCGAGTTGATTTGATTGCGTCGTCTATCGACGAATCTTGAATGCAATGTGGATCATTCAGGCAGTATATACTGCGTTCTTTTTTCTTCTTTGCTTTCTTTTTCATCAATAAAATTTTATGATTACCCTCCTCCAACTACCCTCCCACCTGCTGTATATAACATTTTCCCTTGCGTTCTCGCATACACTACAACAGGATATCTTAGACCAATTCTCTTTTCTCTTTCATTCGTCCGACAGCCATAGAAACACGATGCAATGGCATTCTGCATTACGGTCACGTACAATTGAGTTCGCGATCCGGGTAGTTGCCGACTTTGGTAACGTAGCAAACTGAAACTATACTAGAGAGTACCAAAACCCTTTCTCCTTTGGTCGGAAGCCCCGTCTGTACTTTTCTTAGAAAGGATCTTTTCAACTTCGACGCCCCATATCGCGACAAAACTCTCAAGACTTCTGGTGACGCAACCCTGGTGAAAAGTTGTGATAAATTTTTATAAAAAGCCTGGTTATGAGAATTCATATTTGAATTATGGTTTTACCTTTATGACGTGGTGTTTACGATTCAGACGCGGCATTTCTACGACTCTGCACCATAAGAGGGTGTCCTGCTCCATCGGTAATTTCACCTGAAACACAAATTTTATGGAAATGTATTAGTTATTGCGGGGGGAATACATAAATAGTTGAAGAAATAAATGCTGAAATGCAATATTTTGTTATTATGGTTTAATGAGTTTCGGAAGTCTGCAATCCAATGAATTACAACTTTTGGCTGAAATCATAAGGAACTTCACAATTCAAAATTCAAAATTTCTAGGAAAAATCTATGGAAACTGCAAATTTCAGGTCAATTATTCCTGAAAATTAATAGATATCGGAAAAATGCAGGTAAATACATCCTAGAATATATGAAACATTCTATTAAAACAAAAGTTTGAGGATGTGATTAGTTACTGCGGAGGGGAAGAGACGAATAGTTTGGGAAATAAATGTTGAAACGCAACATTTTGTTATTATGGTTCAATGAGATACGGAAGTCATTGCAGTAATCGTGAGAATACTGAATAATTTGTGTGCAATCCAATGAATCGAATAAAAGAACAGGAAAGAGAGGGATAGGAGAGAGGAAAAGATGAATAAGTTGTTAGACGTATTTTGTTCCATCATTGGTGGCTATTCTCGTACAAATATCAATGGAGAGGATCGGTTTACCATCGTACCCGCCAGTGATACCAGTCGCTCAACGAGATGCTCACAGCACCGGAAAACCAAATATCGATGCGAGGGATTCAATTATCGGTGGCACTCATTTCTCTTTTCCAGTCTGTCTCACCTTCCATTGCATTCAGATTGAAAGGAGGAAGAAAAAAAAAAGCAACACTGTGCATTTCGTAATTAGAGCATCAAGTCTTCCCATCCGTATCTTCGTACATCGTGAAATGCTTCATGCAACAACTTGATCAGTCAGATAATGCGAAAAATGATTCAATAACGCTACGATGAAGTTATTTCCATCGTAAAACACTAGCATCGCCCTCAACATTAGCAATTGCCCTCGGGGTTATGAATTTTGTTCTCAAGTTTGAAGGGAGGGCCAAGATTAATATTGCCGTAATTCTTTTGTTAACTCTTGGAAGCTTCGAAAAGTTGAACTAGAAACTACCCGAAATTCAGCCACTCATTGTTCGTTAGAATCTTCCCACTGAATTTCTACTTCTGCATGAATGAATAAATTTACAGTTGACTTAATAATCACGTGATTTTTCTTCCGTACAATTTAAGAACGAAATTTTAGAATATTTTCACGTCAAAGTGGTCCTAACATTCTTCTGATATCAATGCAATAATAGCGGTGAAACTTTACTCCTCAGTAAAGTATAACCACACAATTAATAAAAATATCCGTTTTTCGGGTCCAGTTTTTTTCCTCAAATTTATTCGCAATAATTTTTCAAATAATCTTCCGGGACTTTCTAAGATATGAATGATCACCTGATTACCGTAAAATTCAAGCACGAAACTTCAGAATATTTTCTCTTGAAAAGTTTTTCCAAATTCTTCTGCAATCAACACAACAATGGCGCACAAACCTTTCTCCATAAATCAACGAAATGAAACTGAAAAACCCAGAATGGCGAAAAATACATTTCACGAAAAGTTTTTAGTTCCCAAATTTCTTTGCAATAATTAGTCTAACAATTCACGGAAACTTTCTAGAATAATGGCAGTAGAATCATATTAACCCTCTATTGCCGCTCTAATTGTCCCCACTTCGCCGTTTATCGGCAAGCGCGCGTGGTCCCTTCTTCGGCGCCTCGTGGCGTCTTGTGCCGGAATTCTTTTGCTAACTCTTAGAAGCTTCGAAAAGTTGAACTATCAACTACCCGAAATTCATGGAAACAACTTATTGATCCTCAGAATCTTTCCACTAAATTTCCGTTTTTGCATGAATGAATAAATTTCCACTTGATTCAATGATCACCTGATTTTTCCCCGTAAAATTCAAGCACGAGACTTCAGAATATCTTCCCCTCAGAGTTTTTCCAAATTCTTTTGCAATCAACACAACAATGGCGCCTAAACTTTTCCCCATAAATCAAGGGAATGAAGCACTGAACAACCGAGAGTTGAGAAAAATACATTTCAAGAAAAGTTTTTTGTCCCCAAATTTCTTTGCTATAATTTTCCAAACAATTCACCGAAACTTTCTAGAATAATGCCAGTACAATCAGGTGACTAGTTCGTAAACTCTATCACAATGTAATCCACTATTTCAAGATTTATGATCATAATAATGTAGCAGCACGTGACGGTGAAGCGATTCGTTGAATCAGAATGAACAAACAACAATTATACAGTCCCCGGATGTTCGTGATGGTAAATCCTGCTGTTTCATTTATTGAACTCTCGTAAATTTTTTAATACCCACGTAGTATTGATTAATCGTTACCAATAAACAGAGAAATTCCAGGACTGGAGAACTGATAGAGAACCGAACGGGTGATTCAACTCCGACGTTTAAACATTTTTACGTAATTCAATTTCTATCGTTATTACCGATTTCCCGTTGAGATCAGACTGGAGCTGTGGAGAGCAGGGTTGTGCTGAATCGCCACCGCCACAATGCCTCTCGTAAAAGCGATATTACCCGAAGAGAAAAATCAAGAAATAGAGATAAAGAAAATGCCGAAGTACTCCCTTTTCCTTTATATATTTTTTTCTCACCCATTCTCTACCCTTTCAATATCCTCGTTTTTCTCCCCACTGTTATTGCGTGTTACCCGCAGTAGCGGAATGAGGCGCGTGCGGAGGCACGGTTACGTAGCACGTGATACGAGTGTTAAAGTGTATTTGCCCTCTTGCGAAAAGAGAGAAAAGATATGGGGGAGAAATATTTTTATGGAATGCAGCGTAACACACCCAGCATTATTCATTATTTCGATCGATGTGCAATGCACTGGGTATTGGCTTCCGCCGGACAGAAAAATAAACTACACTGTTGAAAAAATTTGAATGAATTTTCGGAAAAAAAATCTTGAATTAATTTTAAGGAACAAAAGTCAATGGAATTCCATGTTTCTCTGACAATTCAGATAAAGTCCAGAATTTATATGATTTTTTAAGTAAAAATGAATATTCACTGCCGAATCCCTTGAAAATTTAAAGAAATCTTCAGTTTGAGGAAAGATTTTTCTGAATTTTTCTAGTTTTTCATTAATTTTCCCGAAATAATTAAACTGAAATTTACAGTTCCCACGGATTTTTCCATGAAACTATGAATTGTCACTGACTAAATTCCTAGAAATTTCTGTGGAAATGTTACTTTCCAGAAATTTCCATGACTTTTATCGGAAATTTAAGTAAAAAAATCAGGAAGATTTGGAGTGAAAGAAAGTTTGAAACCAACAAATGGAAAAGTGTAATGAATTATATTTACCTGTTGATTTAACACGTCCCATGTTTTCATCGCCGATGGCACCTCTTGATTTCGTGAAGTGCGCTTTGGTGGTGAGTCCCTCTGAACGAGGTACAGCGGACGGGAGCCACGGACAGCCCCATGAGGTGGCAAAACACCGGCTGCCGACACTGGCTCCTCCACGTGGTACTGCCAGACGACCTGCATCGTGTCATTCTGGAAGAATAAGAGGAGTCCAAAATTAAATGATCTGAGTTGTTACTTGGCACAGATTAATTCAAAGTAATTCATGTGAGGGTGCGCAGGTAAATGGCGGATAAATATACACTGGGGTGGGGAAATCAATATCAAGATGTCTTTGTCGTGAATATTTGATTAAGCGCATACGCATTGTTGTGGGGGAGAATAATTACTCATTCCGGACGGGTTTCGGAGAATATTGATTGACATGGACGACACAAGTATGTAAAAATGTAATTAAAAAACTTCGCGCATTCGCTCGACAATTCTATGGGATTTCTATTCAACTCTCTATTAATTTTTGGCTGATTCTATTGAAATGTTCAATAGAATTTACTCAACTCGAATTTTCTAAGTTTTTTTGTTTGATTTTGTTGATGAAAAGAAAAGAAAAGTAGAATGGAAAAAATTTAGAAAATTTGAGCCGAGGAAATTCTATAGAAAATATCAATACAATAATCGAATTCTATTGACTTTTTCTATAGAATATTTTCTATTGAACATTTCACTAGAATCGTCGAAAAACTAATAAACAGTTCAATAGAAAGTCAAGTCCAGTTCAATAGAAATTTCTCAAATCAAAACACTCAATCATCACGAAATTAGTTGAATTGAGACGTGATGGCAGGGATATTTGACTAGTATTTTTCAGGAGAGTAACATTTAATTCGATATAAGAGAAAAAAAAAAAAAATTTCAGATTTCATTGAAAATTCAAAAAATTGACAAATTTTTAGCTAAAAACTTTCAACGGGAATTTCAGAAAAAAAATGAAATTTCAAATTCCATAGAAAATTTAATAAAAACTAAAATGTTTGAGTAGCAGCAATTCCCAGCTCACTCAAATTATCAATCAAAGCCTGAATATTCAGTACTAAAAACCACCAAATTTCCAATTAATTGAAAATTCAAGAACAAATTTACCTGAATTTTCCCGACTTCTATTAATTGTCACCGAAGACTTGATCTCAAATTGACACGTTCCATTGCTTTTCCATGAAATTTTGTATTTTCAATGACAAAATTCCTCAAAATTTCATTGAAAAAATACCATTAAAAAATGTCCAACAAGAATCCCGTAAATTTCATCCAAAAATGGTCATAATAACCGAATGAAAAACCCATCTGCCTTTCCCTAATAAACAACCTTCGCCCCCAAAGATGAATCTCCCCCGAGATTGCATAATAAAACGTCTACCATCCATACCATATCCCCCGATATTAGAGTGTCTATCTTCAGTACACGTAAAGGGTAAATAAAACCCGTTGAAATCTACGGGTTTCCGGAAATTGGCAAACAGGAGGGTTGGATGGAAAGAAGCGAGAATCTGGAAATCTCATCGTAGGTTACCCCCTGTGCACCACGGTATGTGAACAAGTTTATATATATTTGGCATTATTCCAATATCTGGGAGATACTGCATAAGTCATGTGTATAAAGAGAGTACGGTGTATGGGCCCCTCGGGCGCAATCGTGATGCGGTACAGTAAAATCCTCCTCCCCCTCCCAAGTTTGTATTATTGATCCAACAAGTCATGGATGAATAAGAGATACGGAAGTGCTCGGTTATACGGAGTACAATTAATACTGGAATAACGAATGTGTGTGTTTTAGTTGCGTGTCTGGTGAAGTGGACACTGGACTGGTGGGGGTTATGATGGAGGTCTTGGGTTCAGTGTGAACCACCTGGATCATTCCCAAGGGCTGCTCGATCCCCCTTCACAGGGTTTTTTTTTTTCATCAGGGTCAGGAGGAACGTCCGCTAATGAAGGATAACACAGATGAAAGAGACTGGAGATTATTCACCGTACACTGGCCCAATACCGGCCATTTCCCACGACCAACTGTTATTTCTGAATATCGAGCGCATTGACGACATTCGTCCCCCGGACATTCTAATATCCGGGTCAGTCCTGTGACTCCTCATTACACGCATTCAACGATCCATGATGATGATGACCCAGGGGCTAAAGACGAACTCATTGAATTGGAAGACAATGCCATTCTGATTGTACCTCGGGATTGGACAACGAAAATAGATACGAGGGGAAGGGAACGGAGGATCAATTCCAGGGAGACATGACTCGTGGTATATCGTTACCATGTACATGAGCTTTTGAATCACTCGTAATTTTAAAGCAATGTCAGGGGTTCTGGGGTAGATTGTGGGGACTAGAGACACGTGGAGGTCTTCGTCGTTTTCCAACACTGTAATTTACAACCCCCAGCGTCTTTACATGCGCGGGGGTGAATAAGAGTGGAGAGGGCAAACGAGGGGCGGATAAACGCATTCAAGCATAACCTCGTTTGTTACAAGTTCATACCAATCATGTATGTGTCATCGGCGGGGTCGTTACTTGGTTATGAATACGTTAGTCTGAATTGCTGGGAATTTATGTGAAATTGGTAATTGACGTTTCTCTCAGGTACGAGAATCTACGGTGATACGGAAAAAAACTAGTGCTTGAAGTTAAGATGCTTTGAGTTCCTAAATTTGAGTCGTTTTTAGTGACACTGAGACATGTATTCTCGATATTCCAGTTTTCTGACTCATTTTTTTCCAAATACTTCATTCAATTCATCTCAATCTTTGACCATGTCTCATGATAAGAGAAAATCATGCAACGAAGATTTTTCGTGTGATCGAAGATACTGATGAAAAGTATTTTTACTTGGAATAGTATTTAATATTTTCACGCCCTTCTGATCTTGCAATGATACTGCTTAAATAAATTTATCTCCCATCCTCATGACCCTTTCGACACATTCAATAAATTCAGAACTCCAATAAATTCCAAGAAAATATATAAATTACGAAAACGTCTTATGATTTCATGCCTTCATCGGACTAACGTCTTGTCGTAGTGCTGCCGTCATAAATGATCAGTGACTGAATAGTCAAGTATTTTGAATTGACAAAAAATGTTTTGGACATCAAGCGTCTTGTTGTCGGGCTGAAAAAGGTCTCATTCTAAGCCATTCTTGACCTTCAGTCATCACAAAGTTGGCCCATAAGACAAGTTTTTGTATGCAATGTTCTAAAGACAGTAGTTTCTACAGTACATGCCAATCAATTCGGTGAAAAAGAATAGCCTCTCATTCATGAAACGCTCTTTATGAATGACTCGACGAACGGTTATTAATGATGCCATCTAATCTCACCTGTTAAGTAACGAAAAGAATATACGAAGCCTCCATTACCATCAGTGCCTCCTACTAAAAGCTATATGAGGTAAAAGCGCGGGTTGAACGCTAACGATGCGATAATTCGTGGTCCGAATGGGAATCACGAGAGAGGCTCTCTAGTTGGTGGCGTGCACGATAACGGGTGGAAGTGTCCTGTTACCTGTCGACGAGATGATCGAGGGAACGGTTTTCGGGGTAGAGAGGTTACACTTTTGAATAAATGTTCCAGGTCGAGCATTCGGGTCATTCGCGCGGCTATCCTAGCAGACCACTCCATCGATTTAGTCGCAAACGAGGTGGCCGGAAGGTATTTAAAACTCACTGGTAATTGACGAGGTGATGCCTACACTTCACTTTTTTCCATTCATCAATGAATATACAAAGGGAATGTCCAAATTAATCGATAAATGCACTAGTGTCTGAAATGAAGAAACAATTCTGGCCTTTTCAAAGACGGTTGTATCTCTGAATTGATTATCATAAATTACTAGCTATTGAATAGTCTTCAAATGTATTTAATTGAGAAAGAAAAATCGTCTCAAATTAGGTGACTTGTGTTTCAAGACATTACGAAAAAATCTTGTCCATCAAACTTTTTGTTTTAGACGGAAAAAACGTCTCACTTTCACGTCTAATGTCTCAAATTAACTCATCTTGAAGCCGAATGAGTGACGAATGAATGATGATCCACTTCATCAAAATGACTTCGTGATGATGTACAGGTGTGAAATACCCAGAACGAACTCAGAATTAAACAATTTCCACGAGGCGATGTAGACGTTAAAACTGCAGACCGCTCCATCGATTTCGTTGCAAATAAGGTAGCCGTCACTGTTAATTGAGGGGGCGATCTCTACACATCACTTTTTTCCATTCACAATGAATATATAAAGAAACGTCCAAATTTAACAATGAATACACTAGAAAAACTGGCGTCTGAAATTAAGCCCTTTGTCGCCTCTTTTAAGACGTTTGTGTCACCAAATTTATCCTCATAAATGACTAGTTACTGAAGTCTTTAAATGTCTTGAATTAAAAAAAAATGTCTCAAATTAGATGACTTGTATTTCAAGACATTACGAAAAAATCTTGTCCATCAAACTTTTTGTTTTAGACGGACAAAACGTCTCACTTTCACGTCTAATGTCTCAAATTAACTCATCTTGAAGCCGAAGGAGTGACGAATGAATGATGATTCACTTCATCAAAATGATTTCGTGATGATGTACAGGTGTGAAATACCCAGAACGCACTCTGCCTCATCACCTCCATTCCGAGTGTCACGACCAGAATTAAACAATTTCCACGCGGGAATGTAAACGTTAAAATTGGCTTGATAATTGCGCTAGAAGTTGGCCGAATGTAATGAGAAACGAGAGATAGCCTGTCAGCATATACCGCTTCTTTAATTGCTTCTTAAAAGCAAAAACTTGGTATGCCCTTTCTCCCCCAGCCCTTACCATCCGACCCATCTCACTTACTTTCACGCTACTTTGAGCTACCATTCTCAGCGAGAAAATGCCCAGTAAACGCTTGCTTGTCTCATGCACAACTACTTTCACATTCTACTTAGGAATGTTCAATATTAGTTTTCTCTATCGAATTACGGTGGAACTAGGGGGTCTAGTCTGTCCCTCTTACTCGTTGCTGTTACCCCGGTGGATCCTCCTCCGTTTCACCGAGTCCCCAGTGGCTGTCGTGTGTGAGCTCCCGCTGGTGTTATAGCGATTTCCATCGCTGCTTGGGTAACCAGCCTCTTCCGTTTACTCAACTCTCGTTCCTCTCACTA